CTCACAGGCTATAGGCTGCATCAATGGACTGATTGTTGAATTTGCAGAGAAACCACCGGGCTTCGGTCATGAGTTATAGGCTGATGAGAAGATGACTCCGGCATGCTCGGGTCCGGTGTAAGCAGAACATGGTGTTTAGGGGTCGTGGGAATCATCACATTCCTGGTACCTTGCTATAATGTTTTACTAGTTAAGGGAGGAGAGCATGATGAAGGGAGTCTCTTCCCCCCATAGTAAGGTGTTTCCTGTGACTAAGGCAATATCACTTCTCTTATTAATGTTGGGGATTTTTCCATCCTAAGTAATGCGGAAGCCCTTTCAAGACAGCCAGTTCTTGTTTATCTTATTAATCTAAGGCTTTGCTGGTAATAAACAATATTCTTAATCATTGAGATTTTTTTCTGGCAGTTGATTAGTCTTCTGTTTTTTGGCCACATTGATGGCATGTTAACCTGACAAGTTTGTGTTTGTTGTGCTTTGGAGTTTTAAAGCCTCAACAAATATGGGATGGATTTTCATGGAATTGATCACTAACATTCTGATCCTGCTCAGATCAACTTTAATCACTTTGTAGCATAGAGCGTAATTGTTATTATTCCAGTACTTTACCAGAAACTTAAAACACAAACTTTCCTTCAGCCGTACTTACCATTTATTCTATTTAATAGCAAATGTAGGAGCATTTTAATCGGAACTGTTTATGACACACTGGTATTGATAGTAACTCTGATATTGAAAAAACATTCATATGATGTTTATCATTAATGCTGTTGATAAAAGATACAACGTTCTTTTAATGTTTTCATGAAGTCATGCTTACAGGACTTCTTTCTACTTCGTTTTGAGTGAATTCATTTGCCAAATTTGTTTTGGCTGCGATGTGTATTTTTATTTCTGTGTCATGCATTTTAATTGGGGATAAAAACGGTTGCTCTTTTTTTTAATCTGTGTTTCTACAGATGGATCCCTCCCTAAAGAGCCAAAAGGAGATGTATCGAGCCAGATAGCAGGTAAAACATACTGTTTTTTTTTCTTGCAAGGCCCGTTTATATCCATGTGTGTGCTGGTGGTGCAAGAGGGGAGTGTATTTTACTGAGGGTGGAGGGTCGGGGAGGTCGGTATATTTCAAAAGAAATATGGTGTGTATGGTTTATTTTTACATGCACACGAGCAGACCTAAGCCCCTTTACAGATGTAATGTAGACCTTTTTTAAATTTAAAAAGTATTATCCTGCTAAGGGTTTTAGCATACATTAAGTGGGTAAAGAGATGTTCAGTCAGATTCAAGTCTGGCTGGGTCACTCGAGGACATTTACAGAGTAGTTCTGAAGCGTCTGCTTTGGTATCATGGCTCTTTGCTTAGGGTTGTTGTCCTGTTGATGAACCTTTGCCTCAGTCTGAGGACCAGCGCGTTTTGGAGCAGGTCATCATCAAGGGTGGACCTGAACATTGCTGCATTCACCTTCCCTTGACCGTAACTAGTGTCCCACTGCTGAAAAACATCCCCCAGCTTGATGCTGCCACCACCATGCTTCAGTTTAGGGATGGTATTGGCCAGCTGGTGAGCGGTGTCTGGTTTCCTCCAGATGTGATACTTTGTTCAGACCAAAGTGCTCAAGCTGGGTTTTATCAGACCAGAAAATAGT